TATATATATATATATATATATATATATATATATATATATATATATATATATATAACAAACGACAATGTGCAGAATTCGCGTATTCGGTACGGTACATACTGCCACCACGTATGGATAGGTTTTAGGCTTATCCAGCCTAATCAAGTTCGGATTTACGCTCATAATCGTTACTGTGTTCAAACAAGCAATCAACAGATCAGTTTTCGTAAACAGCACTGATGAAAAATAATCATCATTAACTGCGGATAATATCGTCAAAAGAGAAAAATGCGTATATGCATCACAATAACCTACAATAAGTTGTCTTAATCCACTTTCATTTGTTTCAACGCTAATTCGTTCAATTGATCTATTCAGAAGTTCTTTCGCATTACAAACTATCGGGTCGGGTAAGGGTGAAATTGACCTGAAAATCTTTATTTAGTCCAAACAAATGATTACGCATCATTGACCGTTACGAGACAAACTTATAATAACAATTAATGATCATAATAAGACTTGCTTAATTGCTGGCATCGTATAGCAGTGATCAAATCTTGGTGCGTCTACTTGCAAAACTTTCTTTAAACGCTCTGAATCTGGCCATTCATACAAATACGCATCCTGCTCTGAAGGACCCATATCTGTGCTCTTGCTCGTGCTCACCGTTGCCGAATCCATCGAAGATTATTTCAGCGCGGTGTGGATACAATTTTGAATCCGAATCAAAACAACTCGAACCTGAACTTTAGTTTCAAAGAAATAATAAAAAATGGAGACGTTTGGTAGAAACGAGGAAAGTCTCTTAAAATTGTAACGGTTCAGAAATAACTCGTCCATGTCTTTAACTTTACGTAAGCACCTCATACACCCGACTGGCACTGATGGATTAGTAACGACAATACCAACATCTATACATATTCAATAGTTAAACCTTACCGGTACAACAAATAATTAAAGAATGATTATTATTGGAATAGAAACCAATTCAAACACAACAGCAAACCGGTTCCTCCTTCCCAATTCTTTTCTTTAATTCTATCAAAAAGTTATCTTCGAACAAATAAAAATCAAATGATACTGATAACATTAAAGATTATTATCATACAATTAAAATAAATGAATTCATAATGATTACCTCTCATTGACTAACTGTTCATTCGAAGTGAAGCGAAAACGAAATTTATCAAAATTATTATCATTTTTATTATCAATTACTGTTATTATTATTACTATTATTATTGAAAGAGTATATTATACCATCAGCTACTGTATATCAAAATAAAACACACCATTACTTTCTGCTTCTTCAATTCATTAAACAAACCAGTGAAAGTCACAAAAACCTGAATATGCTGAACAGAGAGAGGAAGCAACAGCAACAAAAATTGTCAAATGAAGCATAAAAGTAAAGCTGATGACAGCAGTGATACTAGCAGTGATAACAGTCATAGCAATAATATAATGTTTAAAAAACAATAATAATCATTAATAATAATAATAATAATAATAACGACAATAACACAATGATAATAATGATAATATAAGAAGAGCAACTGAAATGCAAAAAGAAAAACAATACATGAATTCATCAAGGAGACCATAGAATGTTTAGAAACGAATCACAAAATTCGCTCGAGCGCATGTATTAAAAAAACTCTAGAGAGAACTCGATCGCGAATATGAACCGAATAGAACGGAGATTAAAATGAAAAGATATAACCAGATAAAACAATAATTTTGCGTTCACCGGCTTAGTTATTGTGTGCATGCGTATATATTAATTGCGTATTATTTTCATAATTGATTGCGTTCATATAAACTGATTAAGAATTAAGAACAGATCAGAAAGTACGATTTGTTATGAGAGATTTAATCAATACCAGTCAATAAATGATTTAAATATATACGCGATAGGTAGGAAATTTGATTTGAATAAATTAATCAATTAATATCAGGAATATATTAATTGTTAATTAAGCATTAATTAAGCACAATAATTTTCAACTGCTAGCATTTGCTTAATATCTTCTTCATTCGTACATTCCGCTATACAACGGCCATCTGGTGCTTTATCGTCACGACGTGCACCCTTCAAATTAACAAGCAAATAAATTTATTCAATGAAGAAGCAAATTCTAGATGAACAATAATCAACGAATAAATAAATGAACATACCTTCGAAAGAAGAAGGCACACGATTTGCTTATGTCCCTCGAAGACAGCAGCTAACAATGCCGTTATTCCATGCACATCTGTCACCTGCATTCAACTTCTTTCATTTCACCAATAACGATAACAACAATAATAATGATAACTAAACACTAACATTCACATCAGCACCTTTACTCAACAAATACTGCATTATTTCGATCTGTCCATAATCAGCTGCATAATGAATTGGATAACGTCCATCAATCATTGTATTCACATTGGATTCATTCTAAAACTAACCCATGCAAGACTATCCGGAATTACGATTAATTGTAACACTGTGATACAACAGTGTGACCAAGTGAAACACTTCATTCGTAAAACGTAAAATCTAAAATTCAAGACTTCAAAATCTAATCCAGACAAAGCATTCGAAAACTTCACTTCAAATCTAAATGGAAAACCGTATCGATGATCGATCCTTCTCAATGTTGCTATATTTCGAATCATGCGTTTGCAATGATGCAACACACTCAATTCCATTATAGAGGACTCTATTGCTGCACAGCATTCAACAGATCTGATATTTAAGAACTAACGATATTCCGTTGTACACCTTCCAAATCACCATTTTTAATCATCCACGATAAACGCTCGGCCATTTGTTACTCTTACCTATCTTATCCACTTGCGCTCCAGCAATCTCGAAAGCCTTCAATAAGGAGCATGAAACTGCTGCGAAATATCCATTTAAACATTTCCTTTTGGCTGTTCAAAGCATAACAATTGCGTTTACTCACTGTAGAATGAAAACCTCAATAACATTCGGCACAAAATTTAAGCCTAGTTTGCAGATCGCTTAGCCACTCACCTGACGACTCATAATACTTTTATCATCAACGTTGGGTGCTACAAACCTATTTGATTTACATTAATAAATATCATCAATAAACAAAATAATCATGCTCATAACAATAATAATCATACCCTCATCAACGCAAATGATCAAATTTTTTTCACATACGAATGAACAAATAAAGGAACCAGAACTCTATTGCGCTAACCACGTCACTTTGGCATGCGCTTTACAGATAAACTTTTGTCCAATTATACTTTTTTGAGGACAATTCTTTAATTTCATTTAAAAACAGTGGTGACGATAACACTGAAGATAAAGCAACTGAATTTATAAATGATGCATAGTGCTTCGATCATTTATTCAACACGACAATCAAATTCGTTGTCCGATAATAGCAATGAAACTTATACAAATAATAGTTATAATAACAACGATAATAATAACAATAATAATTATAATGAGTGTGATAAGTTATCATATTATCACTGAAACGATCGTTCACTGACGATAACGAGAACAAGCAAGAGCGCAAATAAAATACACTGCAATACACAACAAAAATCGCTCAGAACACTGTCACACTGGATTCAAAAATGAGAAAACTTTGCAATTTGTTCCTAATTTCCTTATAATGATAACGAACAGAAATACATAATAATAATTGTTATGATGATTAACACTATAAGTAACAAATACAACAACAGAAGTGAGCATTAGTAATCAATATGAATTAATAACAACAATTATTATAATTATAACAACCAGACTCAACAACATTTTACAAACTCATCATTATGATATCTTTATACCCAAATTTCATTTTTACAACAACTTCGCACAAATTTCAACTGATCTTTGCATTAATCAACCAATTTGTCGTTTCCTACATCTTCTACTTATCAACACAATTGCTAATTTATCAATATGTCAAAACCCATACCAAATTCACTATTAATTGTTTTTAATTTAATTTAAGGAAATTACGAACGAATTATTTTAAAAACAGTTCAAATCGATGAACAAAGTAACGAATCAGCAATACATCATCGTGGATGCAATGTCTCTTAACACAAAAATACGTCTGTACAAAACAATATGACAACTATCAAACTAAACAAACCGTTGAGATCACCAAAAGGCACGAACCTTCCTCCCCACAAGCATCTCATCCTAATACCTCCTAAATCGACCACTGCTCAAGCCTCTTGCACGAGCACTACCCCCACCACGAAATCTTGACCAATTAGCACGCCAGACACCGCGCTTGTTGAATCCTTAACTCATAACAGTTATTCATTCAAACAACACGCTTTCGATCAGTCAACAATAAGATTTCGAAACGAACCACTAACTGATCCACTGTACTTGCCACCGGGTGGAACGTAATAATTCTCTGAGAATCGTTCTTTCTTGTCCTTTACTTCATCATTGCCATCATTCATCGTTATTCTACGTTTTCTTAAATATGATAACATCAATCTAAAAATCAATAAAACAGAAAAACTTCTGCACACCTCACTTTCAACTGAGAAAGCAAATAAAGAAAAATTCTGGAACAAAACGAATAGAATGACATGCGCTTGTTCGAATAGTAAAATTAAACTTTGTGTGTGAAATTAAAAGGAACGAATGGTTTACGTTGATGTGGATGCTGATGAAATATTACTGTTGTTGTTGCCCGATGAAGCGTGCTCGACAGATTTCTGTGTGAATGATAACTTCGAACGACTGCTAGCAACTGCAGTGGTAGCACATTTGTTCCAACTTGGTTGAATTGTTAATTGAAATGTTGGCTTCGGATGTGCTAAATCCTTACAAATCTTCAACACATTCCAAGCCATTTTGAGTGCACTTTCCAAGAAATCAATTTTCACCCGATCACATTGCCCTGCGTGAACATCACACAACTGCTTCAATTCGTTGTTTGCACTCGTTATATAGTTTTGTAAAAGACCTGCCAGGTAGATAATCCTGAAACGAGCAATTCAACATCGACAAATCTCCCTTATTCTTTTCCTTAACTCGTAACAAATAACCGACCAACACTGATCGGTGTAACTGGAAAACAACAAACCTTTTCGGCCAATTCGAGAATTGTTCTTTTTGCTCCAGTAATGAATTGAAAATATTTCGATTCTTTTTGAATAACGTATAAATAGCCAATCCAACTGCTTCCAATTCACTCAATTTCAAACGTGACTCAACTTCTTCCTCTTCTGTACCATTCCCATCCACATTTGTCTCCAAAATCTCCGATGGCAACGGAGGTATCAAATTCTGAATATCCATTATTCATTATAATTGAATCGAATGGATTGCAGCCATAAACATTCATCCAACATACCAAACGAACGAACACTTTCAATAATCCAATATCCACATATCTTTCGAATCAGCCAAAACCGAGTAAGAAATGAATAAAGTTCGACTGAGATAAAGCAATCAACTCACCAAAAGATATTCAAAAATAGCTGTTACACGTTCTTCACTCAACGTTCCAGCATATGGCGCCAACTGAGCGATTGCACGTAGTAAGCGATTCTTTAATGATGTTGCTACGGGTGCTGTGGCCGTTGTTTTTACTGTTAATTCAGATTGTAACGCTGGTATACCCTTCGATACCAAATAATTCATCAAGTCTGTACTACGACAATTTGCCTGAAAAATTAAGCATTATCATGTTGTCATTATTAACACAACCGAGAACGAATTTTATCTTTGTGATTCTTATTTTCAAGTAAAAAGTGACGAGTGATTGGATAAATAAATGCTTAAAAACATTTCAACATCATAGATTATTGAAATGATTACTCACTGAAAGAAGGGTTTGTGCTCGTTCAACAAAGTAGAGAATTTGATCGAAACGTTGAACATCTTGTGCCTGAAGTCAAACCGAATATGATGCATTTCTTAAGCACAAATCATCACCGCTGCTGTTTCATGTTGTTGGAACGACACTTCCTACTGGGAAGATGAACGGAACGATAGCACGATAAACTTAACCGCAAAAGTATTCGGGTAAACTGATAAATAAAACAAAAAAGTGTAAGCAAATTTTGAAAATGAATCAATTTGAGTATTTGGCGGAAATCGAAAAAAGATATCTTCAGCAATACGGGACACGGGAACAGATCGAACGACGTTACTGAGTCATAACAACAACTAAATAATTTTCATTTCCACATGATAAAGGTTGACAACAAGTTTCATGTGTTTTCATAATATTATTACTAAGAGAATTACGCTACCGGAAAGGGTTGCTCAATAGCGATCTGCTCAACAACCATTTTGTACAGGAAAATACGACCCTGGACCGATTCGTATGTATTCATTGAACGCATTAAATTGAAAATCAAGTCGAATTCGGCTGCTGTTACATCTTTCATTATCTGCAGTTGATGAATATGACAAGTAAGATGAGAACAACACATCGAAGAGATCTTAAAAATAAACGAATCAATATTACCTCGCGAAACTGCTCTTCAATTAGAGTTCGCAGTTCAGCCGAGAGTTGTTTTGCAGCCACATCACGTAAATGTTCATTGATAAATTTCAATAAACGAATTCGTATCGCTTCATCTTCTGATTTTGTTATATTTACGAATATTGCTGATAGTACATCTAAATTACGCTCACAACTATTGAATATTGATTCTTTTTTCTCTTTATCAATATGACCCTCACCACCATCACTTCTACCCGATAAATCAACAAAGACGTCTTCCATATCGAGATCATATTCATTCATTTATGAATGTGCATCAAAATCGTAATCAAATAGACCTAATCCAAGTGCAATCATGCTATCGATATAATCATTCTAAAAAATTTCGGCAAGTTCAACTACATTATTACCCAGCAGAATTCGGATACGTCCGAGAGATAGATATAATCGACAATGAAATTGATCATATCACATAAATTCATGATAAAATCGATTAGATTTCAAGGCTGCTCAATTATTCCCGCAAAAAAATTAAACGAACAATAACTACGTGTACATTTAGTTTAGATAAATAGTTTAATCTGCGTCTGAACAAAAATCTTTTAGATCACATACGTCACTATCAAATGCAACTAAACTGAATCTTATAACAATACCTTTAGGATACGATTTCAAGAACTGAACGAGTGTATTCGTGAGAATTGACATTTCTTGCGGATCATCAGTTTGTTGTAACATCTGTGATAAAACATCTGCTATTTTATCCACTAATTCACCAGTTTTAACCAACTGAGATAATTCACGAATTACAGCCTTTCGAGTCTATAACAACACCATTTTGCAACGATCAAACTCAATATCTTGGAACATTTTGAATTAAGCATAATTCTTTCTGATAACAAGTACTGGTAATTCATAAAATTTTTGACGAACCAATGGACAAATAAAAGAGAGGTGGTAAAGAAATGATCCCATATATAAAATATGCAAAAGAAAACCTCAGGATCACGATCTTCCAATATAGAAACCAGTGAATAGAATGCCATGTTACGCTGTTCTGTGAAATTCTTCCAATATCGAACAATCATTTGAGCACTTAACTTCTTCACCTTTGCATCTCCATTTTTAGCGCCATCCAAAAACAACGCGTAATCATCCACATTCTAAGAATCAGCATAAAACAACATCCATTTAAATACTAAAGTTATATTATTGCTATTGTGATACTTATGCACTGCAATTAAACACTGTATTTTTAAATGCTAAAGCGCAAAACTGAATCTGAATATATTCGTAGATGTACAATCAAGCAACAATGCTTTCTGCATTGCAATCAAAGGCAAACAAGAAAAGAACAGCTTGAAAACAATGTCGATGCAAGAGAATCAAGAACTATAATGAGAATTTTGGTTGCAAAAATGAACTTTTTCTCCTTTTGCCTCATCCAAACGACCACACGCATCGTATATGTCATCCAGTGTCGGCGATAGGGCCATTTCGTCCACCAGTTCTAAACTAATAAACAAATTGGGTACTTGTGCTGTTTAGTCCCTCCACCAGTACGCAATATCACGCGCGCGTGCGCGTAGCCACGCCTACTGGATAAGCCTAAGCCTGAGCCTAAGCCTAAGCCTAAGCCTAAGCCCTAAGCCNAAGCCTAAGCCTAAGCCTAAGCCTAAGCCTAAGCCTAAGCCTAAGCCTAAGCCTAAGCCTAAGCCTAAGCCTAAGCCTAAGCCTAAGCCTAAGCCTAAGCCTAAGCCTTAGCCTAAGCCTAAGCCTAAGCCTAAGCCTAAGCCTTAGCCTAAGCCTAAGCCTAAGCCTAAGCCTAAGCCTTAGCCTAAGCCTAAGCCTAAGCCTAAGCCTAAGCCTTAGCCTAAGCCTAAGCCTAAGCCTAAGCCTAAGCCTGATGCCGAAGTCAGCGTAACAGAATGGGTGTGGCCTAAAGCGCGTATGACAACGTGCGGCGGTGTTGTTGAAAGCGCAAATGGTGTCTGCGTGCGGGTGGAGGGACTAAACAGCACAAGTGCCACAAATTGGAATGTTGAATCATTGATAAAAATAACCACGACAATTACGGTGTTAACGACAGTGGGTGATGAAGATTTATCACCCTACCAAGTAGTCCTCTCACGCCTTTCGTAATACGCGCACAAAACGGTGAACATGCGTTCGCATTGCTCAAATCGAATCCAACCGAACTAAGGGAAATCAGATAACCAAATACTACGCTCTAAGGAGTCTACGTTGTAAGGAATTGATTACTCTGCTCTCAACTACAATAACAATATCAATGATGCTAATGACGATATGTGTCATCGGCACTTTCCCCAACGGATTCTTCATCAAGTGAAATGGGAGTCAAACGAGACTGCCTCAAAAATCAAACGCTATGACACACCAAATGCATCCACATAGCCAATTTCACACAAAAAAATGTACAATATCCACTCCAGACACCACGTTAAGCGAGAAAATCTTGCAAGAAAATTGCAACAAAACGCATTATTTCTCAGGGAAATGCATTGTGTACGTGTAAACGGATCTACGACAAATGCGTACGCGACGAATCCGTACTACGTCATTTTGAAGCGCATAGTCGGTGAGGAAACTTCGTTTGGGTTCGACCTTTGAGCAATGCGTACGCATGTTCACCGTTGTGTGGTTGTATTGTAAAACGCTTATTACTCGATATATTACGATCTCGTATGTTCATCATGAGAGGGAGCGATCGCTCCTGCAAACAACCACCCGAACTGTAGGACGTCGGGATAAACCTGAGGCTCTGTCCCTTGATGAACCGCAACAGTTTGCGGTACATTAGGTAATGTTTCTATTAATTAAGATATGTAAAAAGCTGTCACTAATACTGCACTTCATAATGCCAGTTATAACTAAGAGCTCAGTTGATTTTCTGCGGTCTGAATGAATACATCAGATAGGAGAAATTCATTTATTTTTCACTCTATAGGAATCCTCCTGTATAAAAGCAAGAAATTCATAATTAATACTAAAACACAAAACAAATATTTGAAACGATGATGCGAAACAATAAACACTTCTGAAGAAAATCACATCGATTGAAACTTTGGATGAACTGTTCCGTATAAAAACGAAAAAAAACCATAATTAACATTAAAACAAAATAAACATTTGAAGCAATGATGTGAAACAATAACACTTTTGAATAAAATAGATCAAATAACAAAATCATAAGCATGAGATCATACAATAATGGAATAATGATATCAACAACGAATCATGCAATAATTGAATAAAATCATAATGAAAACATAAGTAGAGCAATAAAATCATAATGCTTGAGATCATAAAATAATAAAATGATAATGTTTGAGATGCGTAAGGTGAATAATAAAATCACAATGAAATGCATGAGACCATGGAAATTCAACAAACTTGGTGGAACAACAACAGATTGAGGGAAGTTGAGTGAGGGAAAAATTGAGTAAGACAAGAACTTAAGCACGTTTGAAATCGGCAACTTCACAACTTCACCGGTCACAAAACGACCCCAACAATGAACAACTTCATCAGCGAAACGGAATTCACACTATTGCGGCAACAACAACATGCAATAATCATTAAAAGGCGCAGAAGGTTGAAATATGAAGCTCACAGAAACAGTCCATCTAGCGCCATCTCTAACCGAATCGAAAATCACGCTCAGCCTGAAAAAAAATGGAACCGTTTCCCTCTTAGATCCGGTGAGGTGGAGAATGGCATGACATAAACTGACATACATCGACAATTCGAAATGAATACTCAGCCTAATACTATTTCATCTAATAAATGCTAACATTTAGCAATCTTTTTCTTCAGGTTACACATATCATAAGGTGATAATCTCGTAGTTAACGTGTTCAATAAAAGTGGTCAGCTTATCCACCAGCCTCAAGCAAAGTCGACACTTTTGCAGATAACAGTCGCCACTGTGCGCATGTACTTAGATTACCACTTTGCCCCATGTGTAGATATGCAATTCGAAGTCAAATCAGGAGTATGCTTAAGCTTAGACTTATGCTGTTTAGTCCCTCCACCCGCACGCAGACAAGCGTGCATTACCATTTGTGCTCTCAACTACACCGTCGCACGTTGTCATGCGCGCTTTGGGCCACGCCCGTTGTGTTACGCATTACACAACACTTCGGTAGGCGTGTCCGCGCGTGCGCTCACGCACGAGCGCTTTCCCCTGCATGCGGGTGGAGGGACTAAACAGCATAAGTACCGCTTAAGCTTAGACTTACGATTAGCTCAGTGATGAGGCTAACGCATAGGCTTCGACTTATGTGTGACGCGTATGAGCACACGAGCATCTGTGATGGCGCGGTGGCGCCCGTTATCAGCAAAAGTATCGCAAAGTCTAAGCCCTGCATTCCACTGCGGCTCACCACGGGCCTAAACCTCAGATGTACTGTGGTATCCATCCCAGCAAACAATGAAGCTGAATCTATAGGAATGAAGCTCATGCACAGTTCGGGCGGTTGCTTGTACCACCGATCACTTTCACAGACACATTTAACCGCAAGATTATCCATGATGCTATGAAAAAAAAACAAAATCAGTTTCATACAGACCTTTATTCATCACTGAACCTATCTTCAGTAAGTACCCACAACCAATAAACTGATAATAGGTTACGCATCGAAACAGAGTCAACGTTTTCGCACGATTATAGTACCGTTGTTTGAGATGAGTGAACCATTTATCGAAACATGCATTTTTGTAACTTCATTATATCACATTCACAATTCAGATACATCGAAACATCATAGATGATTTAATGATTAATAACCTTGAAACTAATTACCATAATTAAACAATAATATTATAAGCAGTGAATGATAATTATATTCGTACAAGCACAACAGCAGTCAAATTGTTATCACAATTACATAATACTATCACAAATTGATCCACTAATTATCAGAGTTTGAAAGATGTTCCGTTTGAAAATCGTTCAGGTTTGCGACCATGTCTGAAGCGCTTGAAAAATAGAGAACAACGAATGCAATGAAGGCAGTGGCGAAGCAAATCATTGAAAAAAAATCAACGAGTAACGCTGAATATCGACAGCAACCGCATGTGATACTGAAACGGAACATTACTAGTCATACTTGCCTCTTGTGAATTATAAGTATAATAATAACGGTGACGATGATGTGCAGTGAATATAATTAATTCATTTTTACTCAACCTCAGGAACATTTCGTTGGGACTTGGAGTGCTGAATGATGGATGGATGTATGAATGGATCAATTAAGTGGTCAGATTCTACCGAATCTGAATCAAATAACCAATGGGTTCAAATTAAAACTTGGTATGCGAAGAAAATATTCTGAATAAGGAAAAGAAAAAAACCGTGTTTTACGCTGCCTCAAATCATTCAATTCCTCGTAGAGTGGTTCCATTGAATATCGTCGATGCTTACTGCTCGGTAGTCTACGACAACAACGCGTTAAACGCCTCGAACGTCCAACACTAGCCATGCATGTCACAACGACCAACTCAAAAAGAGTTGCGACAACGAATACCATTGTACCGATCTTCCAGATATCTTCAATACCAACTGTCAGTCTCGATCATCACCCGTACTTCCTTCGAAGCTGTCTGAGAGCTGCTCCTGATTAGTGATTTAGTAAGTAATAAATAACTTACCAATAGCCGTGATGCCAGTCGTTCGTGGTAAATCGGCCATATTTGATAGATAATGTAATATCAACAGAATGAACGCACCAATATTCATTATCATTCGTGTGATTGCCATTGGTCCGAGTACTAATGAAAGCCAACTAAAAAGCATTTATCGATGACTATCGTTATCGGTAACAGCATTATTATTTATTATTAATGAATGCACGAATGAAATGCACAGCGAACTACCTGATGAAAACAATTATAAGACTGGGTAAATAAAAGAGTAAGATAATTTTTTGCGTTGTTCTCGCGAAATGAATCTCAACTATTGCTTCACCAAACATATTGCTCATTGTAGTTGATCGGACGGTGGTATTATGCAAAAAACTTATATGCAGTACTCGTAGATCACCAACCTGAAATGTTACATGGATGAGTACATTTTGTCATCATCAATTATCACTGATCATAAGAATAAATTCATCCAAATCGAAACCAACCTGTTCAATCGGTTGCATGGTTGCGAATGGTTTGCTAGCGATATGTTCATCCCATTCCAGCTGTATAGACTCCGAAAATGTTTGCAATATGAGTGTGCATATTGTATTACCGAATGGATAACTTAATGCATCTGTAAGGCACGGTATTTGAGCGTTAAATCTGAAACTTTCGTTATTAACCATTCATACGCCTCTACCTTTATTCGTTGTCCTCCTAGTTGACGACTTCTCTTCTTCAGCCTCGCTAAATTCGTTTGCAGATCGAGTTCAATGCAAAGTTTACCGTCAAATTTGACTTTTTTGTTTATTCATAGCTATCTTCAAAAGAAACGATAATGGTCCAATTAACATTTCAGTTCAATAAATGCAGATACAATTCATACCTCTGAATGTGTAACACACTTCCATTACTTTGTATGATTACAAGTTTGCTCTTGTCATCGAAAAATTCACCATTCGCGTTAATTGCTGTCAATTGAGGTGACCACATCTGAGTAGTGCGTTATGGATAAATTGAGAAAAAAACCTTCATCATTAATGTTTATCTGTTTTTGTTATCATCACTGTTGTTATTATTATCAATAGGAGTGAAAGCATTGTGAAAAGAAATTTTCACCACTGCGACTTCATCGTCATCATCACTACAATGCAGTCAGGTAAATTGCAATTGTAATAATGTCTAAAAACGCAAAAATTGCATCAAATATTTGACCATGATATGTCTTTATTGTTTTGTCCACACAAACTACAGATGTTGAGGCATAGTATAACTACATATAATCATTTGTATGATGCGTATTCGTGACAATGAGGCGATTAATCATTGAAAGATTACGTTTAGATGTGAACCAGCACTAATTGAAGTGTGGCATGGATGAATGTCGTCGAATTTCAAACGTTCATCGAACCATTTACGCGTTATGAACGCATCAACTTCAAGAAAATTCGCTTCGGCTATCAAATTCATTCGCTGCAATCGTAATCCTAATGATACTGCCACTGCTTTTTCTGCCTCTGAAATCAATTGCATACACTGTCCCAGCCAACAGTGAAAGATATTGAACGTCGCACTACTACTGTTCTTACCATTACTGATAATAATCATCATCATAATATTGTTCTTTTGCAATGTAATAATAGTGATGATAATCTGAAGTAACAAATGGAATGTAAATGAGTTCTGATTAGGACAGAATTTAACTTACGATAGGGCGCACCAATGAAGCGTTGATAAGAGTGAGTTGATGAATTTGCTGTTGATTCCAGAAAATGTTCAACAATCTGCGTACCATTAGCACATTCGGCATTAATGAGTGCTGAGAAAGCAGCGAGCAAAATGCTCATCAGGTAGAATATACTTTCATGATTAATCATCATAATTATCACAATGATTACATCCAAGCACTTTTCTATCACATCCACTCTTCTTATCCTTCAACAATAACACTCTTCCTACACAATCAACCAATCAAATCACCACAGATAATCAGTCACCACTACTCTCCGTTTCATTCAAATCCTCTCTCGCTCGCCATTCAACATTATTTATCACTGTATCGTCTTTGCTTTTCGTCTAAATTTTTGTTCACAATTCAAGCATTATATTATCCCAACACTATTATTATCATAAATAACAATAAGGTCTGCATGTTAACTCTAAGTACAAATCACACGATTGAAATGAAAGTGAAGTAAATGAATGTAGTTGAATAATGCAATAGCAGTACTGACGAGAATTTCTCTTGAATATATGATGTAATGAGAAAAGAGGATGCTTATTATAAGATAAACACTTGAGTGGAAGAACGAAGTGTTGGATGGATGAATGGACTGCTTATGAATTGAAATAACAGTAATTTCGAGAAGGCGTGGATAAAGCAACAGGTAAATGGATGGATGCATGTGCGTAAACGACTGAATTCGAGAAATATTCTTCATGTTATGATCTCGATCTTATGGCAGCGTCCTAACAACAAGCAAGCAGTTGCTTAACGTGTTTACTACAGCTTCAAATAAATTCCTCGTTTCATTTCGCTCGATGATTTTTGGTTTATTAATCGGTCATCGTTTCCTGGCCATACAGTTCATCGAATCGCTTGTTAATTTTTTCATTAACATCAAATTTTATTTCGTCGAACCTTCTTTCATTTTTTTATTAATTATGATTTTGATTAATAGAAGCAACAAGCATCAACTGATGCATATTAATTGCCGTTTTTGTTGTTGTTTTTGTTTATTACTTACGAAAGCGATGACAGACAGTAGCAGCGCAGCCGAACTTGCATATTTCATCAAATCAACACAAAACAAACGCAAAACTGAAGGCATACACAAAAAGTTGTCCTCGAATCAATCACCAATAATACGAGTAGCTTCTAAAACTATGTGATCGCTGAATGTGCGAGCGAGATAAAATTCATGAGGACAGATGATTTCATTCTTGCACCAATGTGTATGGAAAGAAACAACGATGCTTATCGAATAATGAGCAGTCCATCGGTGATATTAGTGATGGCGATTTAGAACGGGGAATAGTGATGACTTACATACGTATAATAGTGTAACTGCTTATAAAATAAATAGATAAATTAAACGAACGAATAAATTTGCGACTGCTAAATAGTTGTTATAAGTACGAAATGAAACAAACGATCGCGATCAAGACACTATTTTGATCATTCTATTTCGTTATCATAAATATCATGATACGCAAAATTTTCTTCCTTCATATCAATATTATGTTTCGATGAAATCTGTACTGCTCATATGTTCCATCCGTTGCCTCTTTCATCAACAACAGCAGCAACAAGAACAGTCGTAATAATGATAATAACAATAATAATGATAATAATAATAATGATAATAATAATAAT